TCATTTTGCTGGTTGTTAACCGGTGGAGGTCTGTCAACACTGGCCTCATGTGATCAAATTTTTGTTTACTTGCCACCATTTTGGCCGCTCGATTCTGGATTGATTGTATTGTTGCAATTGATTTGTGTGACAGTTTATAATACAAGCTATTGCAATAGGCGGAATGTTATAAATACATACGCCAGTGTTTATATAGTAGGGCTGTTTAAATAACGTTTAAGTCGATATAAATGTTTGAAGTGAGTCATACGAGTGACTGATGATATTTTTATGCGTGTATCAAGCAAGAAGCCCAAATTGGATGCTGTGAAGGTGATTGGTCGATTCAAATTTCAATTTTTTTATTAAAGACGGAGACGCAAGACGCACTTTTATAGCACGAACAATCAGATATAATGTTAGAGATATGAACGTATAAACAAACAAATTTTGAAAAAACGAATCAGCTGAAAACAAAACAGAAATAAAAAAAACATAGTTAAACACTTTAAAAAATATATCAATATATGCATATGCGTGCGTAGGGAGCGGTATAAATAGCACAATATTATATTTATATATTTTCATTGATTGATTGTAAACCGAGCCTTCACTAGTTGCTCAAGTCTAAAAAAATTGAACTACAATGGATTGTTAACCTTCTTTTAATCAACGGATATAAAAAATCACATAAACACAACTTCCAACGCAAAGAACAACAGTAACAATAATTCAAATGACGTCATCATTTACAACCAAATCACCATACGTCATCATCGCTCAAAACAAATAAAAAAGTATAATTAGAAATATTAAAAAAGACAATGTCAAAACGAAAATGAAAAACTAAAGTTTCGAATGTAGCATTCTAATAAAACAGTCACTAATATTAAAAAAAACAATTGTATCTCCAAATCAAACTCGATAATGCAGCTCAATCATCTCTTTCAAATATCTAATAAGTGTGAGCTGAACACCAAAAGTCCGAATACAATAGTAAGCCAACAACAACATTAACAAGACATTTAACAATGCCCAAGCTGAAACGAGCAATAAAAAATCATTCAAAAGAATACTATAGCATTGTAATAGAACGTAGAATCCTGGAAAACAAAACAAAATTTGTATATCACAACGACAACTGCTTTCATCTAGAACTCTCTCACTCATTAATATTATACAAGCCGTCTATTAAGTCAGTAAAGTTCAACAGAATGCCATTAACTTGCAGACAGTTTACAAAGCATTTAAAAAGAAACACCTAACAAAGGATAAGTTAAAGAAAGCACCAATAAAAGGACGCCTAACAATGCATATTAACACGAAAGTGTAGGTATTAATACATCACATAGATGGTGCCAAAGAATGCCGAATATATGCCTTTATGCAATATTTGCTTTATCGTATTGTATTGTAGACCTGTAGAGCATTTCATTTCTGAGCTATCTTCAGAGGGCTAACATAATGTAAATATGAAAATGTCTACTCATTATATTTAAAATTTTGTTTATTTTTTGATAACACATACATACCTCAGATGTAAAGTGAAATTTTTGGAAAATTTGCTACGGCGCTTGTTATAGATAAAAATTCGTTCAGGCTATTAAAAAAATTTTAAATTTTAACTAATTTTTTATCGAAATTCCTATTCATATACTCATCCATCTATCCATCCATCCATCCATTCATCTGCATCCATCCATTTGAAGGCTCCGCAAAAGAATTTAAAAGAATTATCCAAGTTACGACCGATCAGCAACATCTTCCTTCGCAATTTTCTTCCAACACTTGTACTGCACCACCACCGCCGCCATAATGTTGGACCTTGTCTCAATCGTTAACCTGGTAATTTTAGTTTTTAATAAATTGTTTTTGACTCCAGCAAGTATCCAAATTTTTTTGCTTCAATAATTTTGGCAAAATTTTTTGAAAGACTTGACGGAAAAAAAATTCTTTTTTTTTTTTTATTCTGCCCCCAGACTTCAAGATCATCCGACCCTGAGTGACATCATTTGATTGACAATTATTAATTGAATTATAAGCAAGAAAATTTAGGGTGGATAATGTTGTCGTGAATGAGACTTCAATGGCTTGCTGCATACGTGCGCTATCGCATATTTTTACAGTTTATATTTACATTGAGGCGCACACTTAAGCATACGTATCTTATGTCTTCAATACGTGCACATAAGTATTAATTAATGTTATAGGTATTTTTATATGATGATGACGATAATGACAATAAGGCTATTATGTGATATCAATGCTTGCCTGTAATATCAATATAAGCAAGCGCCTGCTGACTGCAATGCTGTTAAAGTTTCAAAAGCTTATATGTAACATAATATTCTCTGTGGTCAGTATATCTCTTATCTCTACGATTTGTCATCATTTAGACTTTTTAACAAATAAGATCGCAGTTTGATCGTTAAAAACGATTTGAATTTCAATTACAACTTTCCAGTGCTATGTACAAATGATAAAAATTAACTCACTGAAACACTCTACAATATCGTTAATACGGCTCGCGACTTCATCTTTTTAATGAAATCAGTTATGAGACTAAAGCATCATTAAAAACAACAGCAGGTCGGTAGATATTGTTAGCACCAACACCAACAAACTCATTATTGACGTCATCAACGGCAACGACATTTCACTAACATTAATTCCAATAACAGCAGCTGCAAATCTCGTTCCACAACAACAACAACAACAACTAATACTACCGAATTTTAGCATCGCGAAAGATCTTCCGCAAGTTCATCTATCAGAGCTCAACGCGTCCACACCACAACACAACAACAATAAAAAACGACAATAAAAATTCAGCAACAACAACAGCCACATCGTCATTGTCAGGATGGGATCGTTTGTGGGGCACATAGACGAGGCCCTCTTCTTTGTCATATTATCCTTCTGGTGGATGTTCAACATGTTCGCCCACTACATTAAAGTACGCCTCTGTTTATTTATTTATTTGTTTTGTTGTTTTTGCTGTTAAAAAATTAATTGTTGTACTAAATATGAAAACAAAAGAAAATTGTGCTTCTTAAACATTTATCGGAACAATAGTTGACATCATAGTTTGATGTATAAAAGCATTTTCTTTATAAAAAAAATTAACTGAATGCATTAATTAAACTGTCAATTTCAATATTATTTTTATTGCTATCAATTAATTACAGTAATAATATTATTGAGTAATAATAATAATAAATGTGTTGTTGAAATAATGCAAATTTTTTCATATCAAAGTCCTTACATAGCCAAAAAGAATTTAGATCAAAACTGAGCTACGCTCTTCCATGCAAACGCCACATTCCTCTGGAAGCCATCTTGAAAACTCTTTTCCCAATTGGCGGTTAGTGATTTGTTAGTTGGCTGGTTGATTGGCTGATTGGTTGTTTGATTGGTTTTTTGTTGGTTGGTTGATTGATTGGCCGGTTGTCTGAATGGTAGCTGTTTTGTCGTTCGGTTGGTTGAGAATTAGGGCTCACCGACAAAAAAGAGCAGACAAAAAGAACAAAGCAATAAGAATGTAGTGCAAAAAAGGCGCGTACAACAAGGACGCAAGGCATTAAAGGGCGCGAACTAGAAAGGCGCAAGTAATAAGGGCGCTATGAGAGTAAGATTAAAGTTAAAAATAACTATAATATTTATTGCTAATTATTAATAATTTATATTCGAGTAAAAGTAATTTATTGCAACATTTTCCAGCATCTTAAAATTGAAAATAATTTCTTGAATTATAAAAACCAAAATTTAATTGAATTGCGTCACCAGTGTCGATGATATTACTTAGTGTTATCGGATTCAAATTGAATAACACATAAACAAATCAAAAAACTTCGAATATCGCAATTAAAATCCCCGCTAAAATAGCTTAAACACAATAAAAAAATGTAAACTAGATATAAACCCTTTTTGTCTTGCACCCTTTCTTACTGTGCCCTTTTGTCGTGATGCCAGAAGTTAGTCGAGGGTTGGTTGTCGAGCGTACATGCGATTTTTTTCTATGCAGTTTTGATTTATTTTTGAGTTAACATTATTTTTGGAAAAAAGTTGAAATAGAATTTTTCATCAAATTATAATGTCAACTAAATGGCAGAAGATATCATTTTAATTATTTTCATCGATCGATCTCTTTGTAGTTTTTGGATCAAGGTTGGCGCGTCAATCATTTGTTTCTATTTTCGTTGTTATTGTTTTTCATTTTATTAAGAAATATATCAAATGTTTTTTTTCATGTTGTTCTCACTCTTCTTCTTCTTTTTCTTCTCCTTCTTCGTCTCCTCCTCCTCCTCCTCCTTCTTCTTCTTCTTCTTCTTCTTCTTCTTCTTTTTCTTCTTCTTCTTCTTCTTGTTCTTCTTCTTCTTCTTCTTCTTCTTCTTCTTCTTCTTCTTCTTCTTCTTCTTCTTCTTCTTCTTCTTCTTCTTCATCTTCTTTATATACTTATTATTATTATGTTTTTTAGATATAATCGCAGTTGTTACTGCTGTTGTTGGTTGTGATCATCGTCGTTGTTTTTGTCGTTGTTGTTGTTGATATTGTTGTTGTTGATGTTGTAGATGTTGTTGTTGATGATGAAGGTAGATAGGTAATTAACTTTTCATAAATAAGACGATATGATTGTTTGCCAACGTGCACGTGTGTATGTGCTTGCTGCTTCATATCAGTCGGGTCGTTGAACGCCACCGAACTTTCTACCTGATTAGAGTCATTCACCACATGCATACTCTGTGTGCATGTGTGTGCATGTGTGAGAGAGCTCTCGAGTGATACATGTTTATTGAGATGTTTGCAGTTGTACGTGAATTTTGATAACATTTGATTAATTGCTCAATTACAGCCATTCAACTTGACGTTGCTAAGTAGTATTTATTGAATAATATTTCACTCAATGGTGTATTAAAATATTATCGAGACACACTGCAGTCGAAAATGATGAAATTTTATCTTACTGGCATACATAGTAGAAGCAGTAGCAGCATTAAACAACAATGATATTATTGTCCAACATGAACAACAGTTTCTCTTCTCAAGATTATTTCAAAACAAATTATGTACTGAACAACAAACACGTAGTTGCGTCATGCAAACAAAAACGACAATCATGTTCGTTCTCAAACCACATTCACACACACACAACAACATCCAGGTTTGATTGGTGAAATATTTTCTGAGGGGGTGAAGTTTTTGGACGAAGAAGGGAACTTCTTGAAGGTGGCACAGATGCAGCACATGTCCATCTACACGATTTTCATTACGCACGGCATCATCGACATCCTCATGTCCTACCGCCTGCCACTCTTCAAGGGGGCAGATTACATCAGCGCCTCCCTCGCTTTTTTCTGGTTTCAATTTTTAGTTTTGTGTGCGTGTGTGTGTGTGTGTGTGTGTGCGTGTGTGTGTGTGGTGTGTGTGTGTGTGATGCGTTGATGTTACCGTAGTTTCTCTACCGTTGACGTATTGATGTCGTTTATAGCTCATTGTAAAACAAACAAAAAAAATCTTTAAAAATGGTTATTTTTATTTATTTTTGTGTTTGCGTGCTAAAGTTTCGTAAAATTGGCGGCTCAGATGAACACATTCGACAATTCTGCCGTTTCGCTACTGTTGTTAGCAGACGATAATCACAGTAATGATGATATCAATGACAGCAATGCACATAAATTTATAGTGACCTCTTTGCACGACATCACACGGACCAGGTTTGGATATTCATTCTCTTTTCACGCACACATGCACGACAAAGCAATGCTGGAGACAGCCATCCACGTCCTCCCCATCCCCATCATGTACATCGTCAGTCTCCTCGCTCTCGTTGAAATGCTCTTTCCATGCTTCATCCAGGTTCTCCATCTTTTCTTTCTTTGCTTTTGCTTGTGAATTGAGATAATTTAAAGATTTGAATCGCTTCTGTTAGATGTTGTATTGTCGTTGCAATCATTTTTTAATATTATATAATAGTTTCTGAAATAATTATTCAAATTATTTTATTATAATTGATAAAAATATGCAACACAAATAAAGATATCAGTGCTGAGGTGCATTGCAGTGATGTTGCTTGGTACCTGGCTCATCCAAGCTTCCTTCGTCATGTACTTGCCATACCCATTACCTGGTCTGTTTTTTTTATTTCCATTTTGAAAATAAATTTATACAAAATTACTTATAAATTATTACCAAACAACTAGCCAGCTAGTCAACCATCACCAAGCAACCAGCCAGCCAATCAATCATCACCAAGCAACCAGCCAGCCAATCAACCATCATCAAACAATCAAAATGGTGTACTGCTATTTTTTTAACATCTGAATAACATTATCGCGCATTTTTTAAAATTTAACAATGAGCGTTTGCGTGGTTTTTGGAATTCCACCTCTTTGTTAACCATTTTAAAATCATTTTACTTTAACATTATTTTGAAATTTGTTGAGTCTGAAAACAGATTTTCAACAGATTTCGTTATAAATTATAATTGTTGAACTAAACCTCTGCTATAATGTTAGACTGGGGTTGTTGTTTCATAAGTCTCACGACAAAGAGTAAATGAAATAAAAATTTAATTCCATGACAGCAGTCACGTAACAACTTCGACGACAACTTGATATATTTGACACATTTAATTTTTAATCATGTTTCAAGGCTGTCCTCTAGTTTATACACAGAAATATTGATTATAAGATATTGCAAAATAAATTCTATTGTACATACGTACAATAGAATTTATTTTGAAATTCTATTGTACATACGTACAATAGAATTTATTTTGCAACACTATTTACATAGCCGCACACAGCACAATCAATCGCATCCAGGCAGTTCATTAAACCCCCGTTGGAACCAGCTGGACGATCGCAACGTACATGCCATCGTCGCCTCATTCGGCTTCCACATCATCCTCTCTATCGTCATCACCATCCTCATTTATGCCGCGGTGTACTCCTATCTGAAAGTAAAAAACAAACTGCCCTACGCCTTCCAGCCAATCAGAAACGTGGATGATAATGACGTCACCGGCAATAATGGATGTGTTACCGCAAGCCAATCTAAGAGTTTGTTAGATGATGATGATGTCGTTTGACGGATCGTGAAGGCATGTGGGATGATGATGATGTCATTTGACGGGTCGTGGCGATGATGATGATGATGTTTCTGATAAATACGATGTTCATGACAACATTTACAAGATGGATGATGATAATTACAGTGAGAATTATGATAATTGACAACAATAATCTTCGCATAAACGTCTGAGGCTTTTTAGCAAACTTTAAACTTCAATTCTTATTTTTATCATTCGAACGAAGTCTGAACTCGAATAAATGATCCATTTTTTTAGGGATATAATTATTTATTCGTTCAGACGCTATATTTTTTAAATGATTGCTATAGATGTTAAATGGTGATTTTTAAATGAACGGAAGTCTGTTATTGATCAACTAACACCGTTTTAACGACATATTGATTAGCAAGCAACGTTTCAACAACACTCAAAATTGTTTCGACCTGGTTTTAACGGGATTACGTACATTACACATGCTCGTTTTATTGTGGTTTGCTTGTCTGAGATTGATTTAAAAAGTAAGGAATAAATTTGTTGTTAAACTTTTAAAATTATAAAAAATATCTCAAAATATATAACTCTACAAAACAGGTTTTGAAACTGTTGTTCTTTATTTCATATGAAACATACAATAGACATTTTTCAACGTCCTAGCGAATAAAATTTACAAACATATCCATAAAAATACTTCATATCAATACTTTTTACAAGTTATTTTTAACTAATTAAAACTTATTAACAATAGTTTTTTTAATAAATTGAAGAAATGTTTAGAAACACTCTAAATAGATGAAGATTTTATGTATTAAAAAGTCTTCAAAAGATTAAAAAGTCTTCAAAACAAATGAATGGACGAAAATAGACAATGATTATAAATACGAAATAAAAAAAAATTAATTATTTAATTTTAATCATTAAATTACATATAAAAAGAATGAATGACTAGATCGTTGTTCAAAACATCCTCATTTCATTTTTAAAGAATCTATATGACTTGATGAGTTGACGATTGCATTTGTACTTGAAACGATACAAAAGATTAACTGTGAAGTACAAAATACCTCAATAAAAATTGAATAAAATTGAACTAAATAGTTTAACAAATAATTTATTTACAATAATTTCGAAAAAATGTAAATCAATTTTCGGTTTAAAAAATTTTAAGTAGTTTAAAAAACAAACAAAGAATTAAAAATGAAGGCACAGCTAAAACAAAGTCAATAGAATATTTATTAATGGATACATTGGCAACCGGATGTCTTTGACATCCCAAATGATTTTAGTTTTATGGTCTTCGATTTTTTATCTTTCGTTCTTATCAATTTGTGCTTTTCTCTTTTATTTGTTTTGTGAAATTTTTCATCACTTGACTTCTTTTTGTCATCAGCGCGATGGGGGTTTGTGGTTAATGTGGTTGGGGCGGCTACCACATCTTCAGTGGCTGCTGGGTAGTCGACCGATCGCTTGATTGTGTCGATGGCCTGCGACAGGCGGTACATATCCATCTTCACGTTTCGTTTTGGTAATTAATTATTGTAAATAACAAGTAAACATCAAATTTAATGGCTTAAAATAAATAACACTTACTAGTTGATTTTAATTAATTTCAAATTAAATTTATTGCTTTGGAATAATTATTTTATAAATAACTTTCGAACCATGTTGCGATCGTAAGTATCGACGATGTTCTCAGCTAGAAGTTGGAAGCAGTCTCTTATGTTCGTCCCGTCCTTTGCGCTCGTCTCCATGAAACCCGCCATGAAGTTTCGCTCTGATAACTGCGTGTTATTCATCCGTCATTCATTCGTTCTTCGTTCATTCATTCGTTCGTTCATTCATTCATTCATTCGTTCATTCGTTCGTTCGTTCATTCATTTGTTTGCTTATTTAGAAACGTTTGAAGTAAGAAATACATATTGTATACTTGCTGAGTAATGCTCTAACCCAAGAACTCTTTCAACATACAGACACTCACAAACCCACAACAACATCATGCCGAAACATTTTTGGTAGAACCCTTGAAGATGAAAAGACTCTACAAACACGTACACGTATGTGTGTACAGATATAAACATTTTTATAAACATGTATTCTTTATAAATGCATGTATGTATACAAACATGTACATATAGTTAATATGTTTGTATAGGAACACGTATGCATGTGTAACGGTAGTAGTAAGATGATGTAGATTTGTTCTGATATTTCCCTTCTATTGAGACGCCCTTTAATCTTGTTTCGATAACACTCATAAACAACTGATGCAAATTATTTCCACATGAATATACACACAGCATCACATAAATATTTATATATGCAAATATGTTAAATCAAATTAGCATATATTAATTAAATTTTTAATTAGAAACTAGTGAAATGAATCACTTTTGAAACATTTGTACGTACGTACCGGTGGTTCTTTAAATTCTGCCTATCTCGATGTCAGGATAAACTAGGCTTAGTTTAAGTTTCGCATAATGAATTGTGAGTGTGTGTGTGTTTGTGAGTGTGTATATGTGTGTTTGTGAGTGTGTATGTGTGCGTGTGTTTGTTTGTGTGTGGTGTGTACGTGTGCCTGATGGAATGTAATGGATGATGATTTGCAGAGATCAAATTTATTGAGATCAGAAAGACGTCTTTGATTTATATTCTGATGGTAATGTTAAAACGAAGTTATGGAATATATGTAACATCATAGTCAAGATGAGTTTTTGGAGGTTATTATGAATTTTTAAAAAATAGTTTTTTATGTTAGTTAAACTCAGTTATATATTTAACGCCATTTGAAAAAAGTGTTTTTTAAAATTTAAAAAATTTTTCCGGTGTGATTTGTCATTGAATGTTTGTCAACGGGAAGATTTTTGAAACGATTTTGTACAGAAAGTCATTAAGTGTGAATAACTTTTGTTTTGTTTCCATAGCGAAACAACATCAGTGAAGATAAACAGAACCATTTACAATTCTAACTACACAAACCAAAAAAAAACAACCAAACTGAAAAATAATAAAAACGATAATAAAAAAAAATTAAAATGTTACAAACCTTTCGCCCATCTTGGTATGAAACTTGCCTCTTGCCAGCGAGGTCCATTTTGTTACCGACCATGACAACTGGCACTGGCTCTTTGCAGTCTTTGTCGAAGATCTGTTCATGTTGATGTGGTCAGTTGTTAGTGAGTTGTGCCTGTTTGTTGTTGTTTGTTTGTTTGTTTGTTGTGAAAGTTTGTTGATGATGCTTAGCGATGTTTATCCAAGTTTTGTTTACAGAGTTTTTTAGGTCTTGGGTGTTTGTTGTCTAACCTAGACCACACTGGCTGAATGTTATCATATTGCTTTAGTTTTATACGCAACGATAATACGTAAAACAATAAACAATCAAAAAAGTTGAACAGACTGATTCGATGGAGTTCATCCAGTAGTCCAAAGTCTCAAACGTCTCCTTGTTGGTGGTATCATACACGAGGATCAAACCCTGTGGAAATGATACGATAATGTGATAATGTGGTGATGTGATAATGTGGTGATGTGATAATGTGATGATGTGATAATGTAGTGATGTGATAATGTGATGTGACGACGATGATGACATGATAATGTCGTAGAAGTTAATTGAAATATAGATATGCTGGTGTCGACGTGCAATGATACAATAACTTTCGCAAAGTGTACAAAATTTATATACACCTGTACGGTGAATAACTTTTTAGCGTAAATGGTAAGTCGCAATTTGATTGGGGATTGTGGTCAAGCAAACAAACTTCTGCCACCGAACTTAATACAAAAACGATTTTGAAAAATTTAATTTTAATTAATTTAATCACAAGGCAACTGTCTTTTTTCAATTGGAAAGGTAAAAAATCTGAATGAAAAATTGGCTGAAAATAAATGATAATGATGTAGACTGTGATGATGGTCATGTTGACTGATGTCTATATAGATTATTACAACAGTACTAAAAATAAAATCATTCTGCTAGGTCTAGAGTCTAAACTCTAGACGAATGCTTAGCTCATATGACCATATCAATAAGAGGCAATGATGACAATAATGGTGACATTGCGAGTAAGTAAAATGATGTGTGCAATGGGTGAATGAATGAACGAGTGAGTGAGTGAATGAATGAATGAATAAATGAATGAATGAATGAATTGCAAGGATTATTTGCCTTTGTGTCTCTGTAGTAAGACCGGGATATGCTTCGAAATCTCTCTTGTCCCGCTGTGTCCCTGGATGAATGATTGAATGAATGGATGGAGGAATGAATGAATAAATGAATGGATGAATGCACATATGAATAAATACATGAATGGATGTATGGATGTATGTATGAATGGATGGATGGATGGATAGATGGATGGATGAATGAATAAATGGAAGTCTGAGTGGATAGATGGATAAATTACATTTGGGTGAACATTAACGACTCGGTAGAGAATGATTGATTTCAGGTGCGTAGCTAACTGGTAACAAAAATGTAGTATATATTTTTGAAGAAGAATATAAAATTCCAATTTTTTCAATCCTTCAATTTAGAACTTTCTATCTAATAACTATGGATTTGAGAAAAAAAAGGGTTTTTTTTCAAAGTTCAATGTATCTATAAACTTCTATTTTGGTAACTTGCAGCAATTGATCTTGTTCAGCCAAGACGTACGAGAATGAAGGTAGCAACGAATATTTGAAAATCAAACGACGCTGAACATTTTTTGAACTAAATTTCAAAAATTGACGTTTGAATGAATATAAAATATAAATCGATCTACAAAAAAATATTTTTAATTTTTAAAATTTTGAAATTAAATTTTTTTTCGTATCACGTTACATTATAGTTTGTGTGTGAGTGTGTGTGTGTGTGTGTGTGTGTGTGTGTGTGTGTGTGTGTGTGTGTGTGTGTGTGTGTGTGCGTGTGTGTAAAATTAAAAAAAAAATATTTGAAACCCGACGTCGAGTTATTTATTTTTCAAGATAACCACTTAACACACCCAGTAGGACATTAATTTAATTTCATTTACAAGCCCAAATAAACGTAGCTCTGCTCTATAATTGTTCTTATCTAATCTAAAAACATGATGTGATGCTGCGTACCATCTAAACTAACTACTATCCCCTAGCCATTAAACTCTCGGCTGTTGATGATGTCGTAATTGGCTACGATGGTAATGTTTGGAATTTGTGAAGTCCTGGGAGATAAGGTCATTTGTTTCGTTACTGTTAATAGTGGGGTGAAGATTGGCAGAAAAGTCTTCTAACCAAATCTGTAGAGTCACTTGGGCTCCGTCGACTTCGAACGCCATCTTCACAAAGTCAATTCCTGTGAAGTAGTTTTTATTTTTTCAGTTTTATTTTCGTAATTTTTTAGTCATTCATTTAATCAATCAATCAATCACTCAATCAGTTAGTCACCAATAAATTATCTGTTTGTTCGTTTTTTTTTGTTCGTTTGTTCGTTCGTTTGTTTGTACACTTAGCCAGCGTTTGGTAAAAATATTAGATGAATAATTTCATTCAATTAATTAATTTAGTTAAAACTAGTTATTAAGAATAATTAAGTTTATACTGTCTCTCTTTCTCTCTCTCTCTCTCTTCTCTCTCTCTCTCTCTCTCTCTCTCTTCTCTCTCTCTCTTTCTCTCTCTCTCTCTCTCTCTCTCTCTCTCTCTCTCTCTCTCTCTCTCTCTCTCTCTCTCTCTGTTAGATTTGTTAATTATTTATGATTGCATCTCTAATTACAGATTTATCTCCAAATTAACAATATCAAATGACGCTTCAGCAATCAGTCAGTCCATACATTTCAATATAACTCACTTTTGATGTTGCTGCTATTAATATTAATCTTATTAAAAATTATTTTTTATCTGTTTTACTCTGTTTTCATTTCATAATAATTAACAACTTCAAGTTTGTAGAATTTAGAGTGAATGTTAAACAAAATTGATAATTATAAAAATCACTAAACGTTAAAGGTTAAAGGTCTATCACACTCTTCCCAGGGTCAGAAAAATTAACAACGCACAAAAAAAGACGCATCGCACACGAAGTATGTTATATACGGAAATCTTCTTGTCATATTCGAACCCGGTCACTACGAAACAGCACCTGGCGACCTTAACCGCTAGGCCATCACGCCTCAGCATGTTGTTGTTGATGGTCCCATGTTTAAATTACTAAACAATAGAAACAAAAACATTCATCAATGAATCGTTTCTCAAATCAAAAATCAATTAAAACCAACAAAACTGCAGCGAGCTATTTTCATTCGGTAAATTATTATCATCGGAGATAACAAACAAGATAACGCCACAAATTTAAAACTTTCAAATTTTTGGATATTTTTGAAATAAATTATTTAGCTAGAAAAATATTGACATCATGTTTCTATTAGCCAAGATAAGAAGTCGTCATGAGTTCCAAAATTGTTTAGTTGTGAATGTCAGCTGTAGCTGTGAGAAACACAACACACACACACACACACACACACACACACACACACACACACACACACACACATACCAAAAATACACTACACATACACACACAAACACACGCATACACACGCACACACGCACGCACAAACACACATACACAAACACACAGACAGAATAATTAAATTATAAAAACAAGTTTAAATATTTTTTGCTTGTTAAAATAATCCATCGCTTCAATTAAATTAATTTTTTTTTATTTTTTCTCCAAGTGCATTTTAATTAAATAAAAATACTAAATATTTTATTGTTATTGTTATTATAAATTTTCAAAGTATTCACATGAAAAAAGAAAGTGGATAGTTGATTTGAAATTAAGACGAATTTGAACAGTTTTCATCTGAAAATGTCTGCTTCAACTTGCATTGAACAAAATGATAGACTTCATATCATATAAAAAGATCATCCATCGTTTGTGATTCATGGTAGATATTTGTTTCATCGCCATCTTAGTTTTCTTCAACATCATCGTCGTCGTCATCAACTCAATCCTCTTAGCAATGTTTTTAATTGATGTTTTTTCATGTAAGAAGCCCATGACATCAATTAATGTTGTTTTTTCTTTCGAAGCCAAGAAGACATTTGTAATTAATACGTTCTCCGCCAGCCAATCCTATTTGACGAACCTGCATCCAAACATCAATGATTCTTTCTTATCAAGAAACCATTTGATGGTTTCATTTTAAAATAGAAAAAAAAGTTAGTACGAAAAACACAAGCCTTCACTTTTTTATTTCACAATGTCATCATCCTAATTTGGCGGGATTCCTAAGAGTGGAGACAACGAATACTAGCGATTTTACACATATGTTAAGTTATTAGAGGTATGTTTTTATTAAATAATTATCTTTTCATAACAACTTTGCAATCTGAAACGGGCTTGGCTCATTTCATTCTATTCTATGAAAGGAACGCCCTGTTTTTCTTTTATAGTAGATCTCTTTCGATATATCTATCTTCTGTCTATCAATTCATCTATCTATCTATCTATTCATTTGACTATCTATTTGTCTATCAAAATGTCTATCTATGTATCTATCTGTCTATGGAATGACCCGGTTTGTTTTTATAAGGAAACATTCTACAAAAATCTTTTTTGAATAGATTGATGAATGAATTTGATTCAACATCACACCACCATCCGTGAGATTCTTTCCTCCTTATTATTCCATAAAAAAGTGTCTCATTTAAACAACCGTCTGCAGTTTCTTCGAGGTCAGATCCGAAATCTACCAGTACCATGAAACACGACAAACACCAGAGGCACATCATCACAACATCGTTACTGTTATGTGAAATCTTTACTCCAGTTAAAGACATGACAAAAAAATACAAAAAGTACGACATATCTCGAATGATAAACTTGATGTGTTCGTAGTTTAAGCATTCGTTTACAGCAGGATTGAATTATTGTTTATTCAGCCAACCAGCCACCCAAATATCTTTTATCAGTTTTCATAAACACATTAACACACACATAACACACACACACGCACACATACATACACACACATGTGTTTGTCTTAACGTGTTTGTGTTTGTGCATCGTCTGTCTGTTTGTTTGTGTATTATGTATTCGGATGAATAGCGGCTTTACATATAGTTTCTGTTTAATAGTTTCTCTGATGCTTGCTTACCCACATATAACTTCGATAAAGAATTTTATGTGTCATCTGAATAAATTGCTGAATAATTGTCCGCTGTTAGATTTGCATATGTGGAAGTGCGCGCGCGCGTGTGTGTGCATGTGCATATGGTGTGTGTGTGTGTGTGTGTATGTGTGTGTATGTGTGTGTGTTATAATGGCTATATTATGTTCTATCTGTCTGTCGTACACACATATATATACATTGTAGATACGTGTATAATACGTTTAAACTTGTTAAAATAATACATTGGTATTAAACGCGGCGAAAAATTAAGTTAATAAGTTAAATGAAATAAAATTATAAAGAATATACATTTCATTGTTTTCCTACTTCTATTAGTAATTAATTAATCAATAAAATAATGAATGAATTAATTAATTAATTATTAAAGTTAATAAATATGTATCTATCTACTTGTCTCAAGCGTCAAACTTAGTGCTATTAAGATAAAGTCAAGAATTCGTTTTAAAATACTTTTGAAATGTGTAATGTAATGGCTATCATAAACTTCACAATGGGCAAATTTCTGAAATTAATTGCGTGTACATGTGTGTTTGTGTGTGTGCCTGTGTGTTTGTGTGCGTGTGCGTGCGTGCATACTTACCGACAGTTGAGAGCATGTTGTAGCTGAAGGGTGATCCAGTAAGAGACTTCATGATAGATGTCTTGCCGACACCCGAATCACCCAGCAACAAAACTTTATACGTTATTTTGTTGCTTCTGTTGATGTTGTTGCTGTGGTTGTTGCTGTGGTTGTAGCTAATGCGGTCGTCGTTGTCGTTGTGTTTGTGGTTGTTGTTGTTTCGTTTCAATTTTGGGTTGTTGGGTCGTTTTCCTGATGACATTATGTTGCTTTTGCTGTTGTTGTTGCTGTTGTTGATGTTGTTGAATTTGGTGTTACTGATATCGCCTTGTTTTTTCAACAATATCGCTGTGTTGCTGTTGTTGTCGTTGCTGCTCTTGATGATGATGATAACAACTTTATTTTTGTTGTTGCCTCTTATAGCAATGCAGATGTAGATGGTGACACCGTTTTTGTTGTTGAGCACAATTTTGTTGTTTTTTGAAGTTTTTTTTACTATTATTTGTATGGTGTATATTTGTCGTTATTTCAGATAATTTTTTGCCGATGTATCCGATCAACTTCTTACAAGAGTTGGTTAATTTAATATAACAGAGTTTTCAAAGTAGGATTGTTTTTGCAATAGTATGTCGCTAATCTAAAAATTTAATATTTTAAAATAAGAGTATCCCATCGATATGTTGATGGTGATGACGACGATGATGACGAACTGCTTGTTTAGTGTGTTGTTTTTGTTTGTTTTTGAATGGCCTCAAATTGGAAAATAAATTGAATTTTAAATAAAATAATTATTTAGAAAAAATTAATTTTATAAAAATTTCAATGTTCAAACAACAAAATTTGTAACGATGATGAAATTTAAAAAAAATTATACTTATGAAACAATCCCTACACACACACACACACACACACACACACACACACACACCACACACACACACACACACACACATATATATACACACATTCATACACACACACACATACTCACACTCATACACACACACACACACACATACACACACTCATACACACACACACATACATATATACTTACATATACAGTGCCGATCAAACTTTTACACACAATTACAGCTAAACTAATTCATCCAGACCCGATAACATAGTCTTCTTATTTATACGTTCTCTATTGTTCACACACACACACACACACACATATATATATATATATACACACACACACATATATATATATATATATGTTTGTGCGTTTGTGTGTGTATGTGTGTGTGTGTGTGTGTTTCTATAATTTTATCAATTTGTCTAGAGTGCATTATTATCAGGAATTCCACCGTACAAACGGCAAATTGTGTAATTTGAATACAGAGCACCGCCTTACTACCCAATAACATCACGTCATTGCATAACCTGACATCATGAATAACATCACAACAAAACTGTATAACAAGTGTTTGTATATAATATATGTGTCATTATATATATATATATGTATATTTTATAATATATTTCATATATAATATATACATATATATGATATGCATAATACTTTCTCACGTATTATATGCAGAATTTATAATCAGGACGAAATATATATATATATATATATATATATATATATACATATATATATATATATATGTGTGTGTGTGTGTGTGTGTGTGTGTATGTGTGTATGTGTGTGTGTGTGTGTGTGTGTGTGTGTGTGTGTGTGTGTGTGTGGTGTGTGTGTATGAGGATGACTCTGATGATGATGTTGATTGAAAGCGATTATAATGATAAGGTAATAATTTTGGAGATTATTGTGATGATGAATGAAAAAAAGATTTCGAATGAATTAAAATAATGACTCCCTGATTGGTGCGAAACAGAAAAACATCGATGATGATAATGATGATGATGATGATGACGACGATGATGATGACGACGATGATGATGATGATGAAGATGATGACGTTGATGGTGATGGTAATGATGATGATGGCGATAATTATGATGATGGCAAAAGTAATATATATGACAAAATAATTAATAGAAGAAAATTAGTACTATAATTAAAATGGAACCTTTGATTGGGTGGAGAGATTTTTGAATGAATAAAACATTGAAATAATAAAAAAATATTTATTTATGAGTAGATGATCAAACGAAGAATAAAATTATGAACAGAGGTGAATGTCCTATAGAGATATGGAAAAATGGATGAAACATGTTATATCCGCTTATAGGTGTAAAAACGGTTTGAGTAATGTACTTGGATGAGCGATTCAGCAGGTCTAAAGAAAGATGCAGTTACATGTTGATGTCATGTATTGCTGGTGTGTTGTTGTTGTTACATGTTGATGTTGTGTGTTTTTGGTATGTGTTGTTGGTGTACAGTTGTGTGTTGTTGTTGATGTTACGTGTTGGTTTGTGTGTTTCTGGTGTGTGTTGTTGGTGTTCAGTTGTGTGTTGTTGTTGATGTTACGTGTTGGTTTGTGTGTTTCTGGTGTGTGTTGTTGGTGTTCAGTTGTGTGTTGTTGTTGTTGTTTTGTGCTGTTGTTGTTATCTGCAGCAAGCTGGTGTTTCAATTTGGTTTCAGGTTTTACCATGACATATTTTATTCGTTAATATACATCAAATAAATTTTTATCTCATATCACTTATATAAGTGGGAGCAGTTTTAATTTTTATCAATATTATTAATCATACATTTGAGTTGTTGAACAAATATTCCTGATAAATATTTGCTCGAATTGTCCGATTATCATTTGTTCAAGTTGTGTTGGATAATGAGATGAATAAAATATTTAAGACTCGTCATCATCGCGTACATGTGTATTACAATTTTTTCATGTTTAACCTTTAACCATTGGTCACCGTGGTCATCATTATATTTTCATTGTTACTGTGCTAAGTTTTATCAGAGTGCTATAGTTATTTAATAAGTATATATGTATATGATGGCAACATCATTAACCTCATTATTATTGCCATCTTCATCATCATCATCTCATTTTATTTTTTCTATTTAATCAATTTAATATAATTAATAATTTATATAATTTTAATTTTTAGAAAAATTATTTATATTTATTTATTTATTCAATTATTTATTCAATTATTCATTTATTCATTCATTTATTGAATATTTCAATCAATACAAGCGTTCATTCGTAGATAACTTTCAACTATTTAAATCATTAGCTAAAAATTTTATTTATTAAATACAATTTTATTAAATTGCATTGACTAGTGTGTGCAACATGAAAGATAAAATTGTGGAAACTAAATTACTTAATTGCAATGATGTTTGGTAGGGTTGTTTTGTAACGCCTCTTTCTTTCTCTCTCTCTCTCTCTCTCTCTCTCTTTCTCTCCCTCTCTCTCCCTCCCTCTCTCTCTCTCTCTCTCTCTCTCTCTCTCTCTCTCTCTCTCTCTCTCTCTCTCTCTCTCTCTCTCTCTCTCTCTCTCTCTCTCTCTCTCTCTCTCTCTCTCTCTCTCTCTCTCTCTCTC